GTTAACTTTGCATTTGCAGTTGGCACAAAAATATAATACATTTCTGTTGTCTGAGTTCTCAAAAAATTGTGTCATAACTTACCCAAATATTTTTCTATTATTTGAAAACTTTTTAGCTATCATTTGTTTTCATTTGGCTAACAACCATAATTACAATAAAAGCAGTATATGCACATTTATTTTCTATGGTTACCTGTGTTTCTGAACATTTTACGGGGTAGTGATTTAAGTGTTTTTTAAATAAATTCTGTTGTAAATCTATGAATTATTTTGTAGAATTTAAAAAGCAACATAATAAGAACATTTGGGATAGAGTTGTGATTTGTGAAGAATTTGTGTTTTAGTATTGTGGCTGAAAGTCTCTAGACTGAGTGTATAGAGCTATCTGGTAGGGTATAGACTTTTTTTTTTTTTTGAGTCAAACTGGTTTCATCACAGTAGCTTATTTTTACTCCTTTTCCTTGATTTGACCAGTTGTTGAACAAAATTAAGTAACATCCTGTTGACACAACTGAAGACACAAAGTCATTTTTATAAGACTTTGTGGCCTTAAAGGTCTGATTACATCATTAGGGCTCCAAATTCATTCTCTCTATAGGAACTTTAGTTCCTTCATTTGAACACTGGATAACAACTTAAAATGCTTTTAAAATGACCCCCCCAAAAAATTTCCAGGCCACCTTTAGCAAATGGTATAGTACTAATGCTTTTTACAGAATTAAACAAAGTAGTTTTACTGTCAGGGCCGGCAGAGTGGCTCAGTAGGTTAAGAGCTCGCTCAAGAGTGTGAGCTCTGTGCAACAGCGGTTCAAGTCCCAGCCCAAGCTGAGCTGCTGCTGAGCTGCCAACAGGTGGCAGGATGGCTCAGCTAAAAAAAAAAAAAAAAACCAAAGTTTTACTGTCAGAAGAAACACCTGAGATCAATTAACAGCAAATTTTGGAATTTTATAAAAATTTGATTTATTTCAGAGAAAATAGAAAAATGAAACAATGTTAGAAGGTTATTTAAAATGATGTTTAAATGAAGAAAGTATGAGGTCTGCTTTTTTTAAAACACAAATGCAAAGGGGGAAAACATTCTGGAAACAGCATTTCTCATAATTCATTTTCCATATAATGGTCACTGAATTATCCTATTTCATGATCCCATGGCTGAGGACAATTGTGGGACCTCTGCTATTTATGCTGAGTCATTGTGAATAATAATATAGTATTAATCTAATTTTATTCTTTAGAAATATAATGTATTGGTCACATTAATAACATCAACATCTGCTATCACTTATCTTTGAAAACTAACCAAAAATATGGCAAGTTCAGAAACATCAGAAGTTCACACTAGCAGTAGGAATATGGTTTTAATTTTCCTTTAAATGAAAAGGATTGAAAATAAAATTATTTTGCATTGTTAATTTGTAAATCAAGTTGGAGCTAATTTGAATCTAGCTTTTCATTAAGTTCATCTTTCTAGGGAGTCATTCACTTTGTATTTGCCAAACCTAGACTATTTGGCCAAATATGCTGCTATAAAGATTTCAGATGTTCCTGCTAGGTCTTTTTTTTAACATGCTCACCCTCAGCTAAACTCTTTGTGTTTTCTGGCTTGGTGCCACTAGTAACTATGTCCCAGTGACCCGATCCCATTTGACTTGATTAACTGCTCATCCATTTCTTTGTCCAAGCAAATTTAAGAGCTATTACCAATTTCTTAGTGTTACAAAGAAAAATCCATTAGCCTAGGGTGGTAAAATGGTTGAGATTTTTTTTTTATTTATAACCTAAAATACTGTTTTACATTTCAGACCTAAAGCCAGCATTTGTGAAAAGGATAGAACCACTTTATGTTAAATATGGAGAAGATAATGGTTGACTCATCATTTTCATTAGATTACTAACCAGCAGGAGAGGTGATAAGCCTCTGGGGTGGCTTTTTTTTCGTTTTTTAAAATGAGAAACATTTTTTATCCTTCTATTTCTATATAATTTATGTTTTTATTTTAGAGTTCAATAGCTATTTCTGTAATTATCCTTAATTTCCATGTGCTTATTGAATCATTGAAAAACTCATCTTTAAAATTCATACTGCTCCATTTTATCTCTTACAAGTGTTAAATGTATGATAAAAGTACATATTTTAAATTGTTTTCAGCCCCTGGATATAGCTGCAATAAAAGCACTAATTTGTGGGTATTTAAAAAAACCTGGAGAATAAACTCATACTTTAAAAGATTACTTCTCTTTTCAATTCTGTTTAAAACAAACAAAAAGCTATAGATCATTTTCATTTTTCTTTCAAAAACACATTATCTGTCTAAAACCTGTTAATCAGTGGGAAAACATTTTGGACGTTTGTTTCAAATGTCAACTCTTTGGCTTTTCCCCCTGAATTCTTTCTGATTTGGGGTTGGTGACAGGCCATGCCCCATTGTGCTCTTACCCAGTGGTTGTCCAACTCACACCAGCATCACGTGCAGGGCTTGTGACAATAGATGGCAGGACCCCACGCCAGAGCTTCTGATCAGTAGGTCTTGGGTGGTGCTCAAGAATTGTCATTTCAGAGGCCGGCCGAGTGGCTCAATTGGTTAAGAGCTCACGGCTCGAGAGGAGCTGCCAACAGGTGTCAGGATGGCTCAGAGAAGGAAAAAAAAAAAAGTCATTTCTATAACAAGTTGTCAGGTGATGTGAATGCGGCCCATCCACGGACTACACTTTGAGAAATACTCTTCTTGACAATGCTTGGAGTGAACACTAGAAAAGAACAAAGTTGGGTTTTTAAAATATTTTTCTGGGAAAAACCGTGAACATGGACATCAGTAAAGTTAGTATTGTGCTACAGTGTGATGCCCACCCAACGCCTACTTTTTATGTGTCTCCTGACATGTAGAGAAATGTTCTCGCCTTTTCCGTGGATATAAAACAATGTCCCTAACTTGGAGTTGACTGATTACTGTGTTGAAAGAGCTGAATGACATCTCTTTAAAGATTGCGGAAGTTTCATCATCTTGCTATTTTCTAAGATTGGAAATCGTGTTTATCGTATCCATCACTTCCGTTATAGTGGGAACTTCAACACTTCGTTATCATACCTAGTTGGATTTTTTTTTTTCTTTTTTAGCTGAGCCATCCTGTCACTTGTTGGCAGCTCAGCTCGGGCTGGGAATCAAACCGGTGACTCGCTCAGAGCTCAAACTCTTGAGCAAGCTCTTAACCAACTGAGCCACTAGGCTGACCCTTAGCTGGGATTTTTATTATTACTTCCAACTTTATCTTGTAAGAGTGCAATGTATTGTAGTAGCATTAATTGCATTCACAGTGTTGTACAGCCACCACCACTATTTCCAAAACTTTTGGATCACCCCAAACAGAAGCTCTATAATCATTAAGTGGTAATTCACCAACTCCCCTTTTCCCAGCCTCCAATAACTTCTACTTTCTATGAATTTGCCTGTTCTATTTCATAGAAGTGGAATCATGCATTTGTCCTTTTGTGTCTGGCTTATTTCACTTAGCATAATATTTTCAAGGTTCATCCGTGTTGTTGCATACATCAGAAATGCATTCCTTTTTATGGCTGAATAGCAAGCATTCCACTGTGAATATACATTTTGTTTATTCATCTAATGGTCACCTGGGTTGTTTTCACCTTTTGCCTAATAGTGACTAGTGCTGTTATGAACATGGTGTTTAACAAGTACCTGAAATCCTGTTTTCAATTATTTTTTTGGTGTGTGACTTTTTTTTTTCCATATTAGATTCAGGTGTACAAAACAGTGTACTAGTTAGACATTTACACCTCTGTTTTCAATTCTTTTAGATATCTCTGCATGTTGCCTTTAAAAAAATAGATCCAGTAAAAATTGTAAAGATCGTGCACAGAGGTTCTTTGTACCCTTTGCTCAGTTTGCACATTGGCTTAAAATCAAAAGGATGTTTATGTACAAAGGAATGGTATAGTAGACCAGAGGGACCCATTCCTGGCAAAGCTGTTGTTAATATTTTAAATCTTAGTAACCATAAAGACAAATTCCGCAAGAACTCATGTTCTTTGGTACCTGCTATCGATGGGGACCCACAGTCAGTGGAATAGGAACTACTTGTGATTCTAGTTATCAGACTGTTTCAGCCAATAAAGTATATGGAGCATGTGCATAAGTCCCATCTTTAAGGAGTTTAATATTTCTGAATTTAGTGCCCTGTTCAATTTCATATCTTAATTTGAACTTTGGGCATTTTCTTTGAATTGTGAAAGAAAACTCTGGTTTCATAATGCCCTCCCCCCTTTTTTTAATGCTTAAATGTCACTTGAAAGTGCAGCAAGTAAAAAGGTGAAAGCAATATGATGTAAACTAATTTTACTTGACCAAAAGTTTAGCATTCTATTCATTTAAAATCTTTTTTTTTCTTAGCGTTTGAAGAAAGTTCAAAAGAGCTAACTAACCTTCCAGAAATAGCAAAGATAATGTTGGGAAGGAGTAAGATGATTCTTAAAATGCACACCATGTCTGCTACTGCTGAACGCACAATACAATGCCTCACTACAGAATACTAAACAGCTGGTTTCCTGATGCTTTCACACTGACTCGGATCGCGTGTAGAAAGCAGGGCAGATACTCTGTTCAAAATGTTCCTATTTAAAGGAAGTGCCGTAGAAGACTACATTCCCCTCACCTTTTAGATTGCAAATCTTGAAAGAGAAGAATAATGTGATTTTCTTCTGCTGTCAGTACTTAAGGTTACAGGAAGAGTTTGGAAATAAGTTCTTCCTCTAAGATTTAGATAATACCAACATATTGTGGACCAGAGCAGATAAGCAGATATATAATCGCTCCCTGGCTGGCCAAACCAGACTTACAGGAAAGGAACCTTCAAGAGGGCAACATTTACAACTAGTTGACTATTTCTCAACATCTGGAATAGTGCCTGGCACAGTTACAAAATGTATGGACTTTGAAGAATAATCGGATAACTTTTTTTCCCCCCCTGCAAAAAGCTTTATTGTTTCAATTTGGTCCAAGGCATGGAAGAGGGCTCTGGAGTGGTTAGAAGGCTGCCTAATGGTTTCAGGCAGAAGCCCAACACCAGGGGGATGCAGAGGGGTCCCTCAAAGGCCTCTGGGCTCCAAAGGCTTCTAGTTGTGCTTGAGGGAGGGTGAGCCTTTCAAAGAGATACTCTCCAAGCCCGACCTGGGGGCCGGCCAGCTTGCGGAGGGTAGTCAGGTGGTCGCTCATTTTCTTGATGAGTTTCACCTCATCTAGGAAGTCATTCTCCAGTTAAGTCACAAAGCTGAGTGATAGAAGAGGAGAAAATGCTGCCAATGGGGGTCTGTGCAGGCAGAACCCAGGGCGTGCAGATCCCAAAGGGCCTGCTTCAGGTTCTTTTCCATGACCATGGCGACTCCCATGGCATCCTGAGTTTTACCCCACTCATCTTGAGAAGGTTTCTGCAGGTCCTGGAAGAGAGCGTGACCTCCGCGCTGGTTTTGCATCTTCAAGAGATGTGCCGCGCCTTCCCACTTCTCTTTGGCTAACTTGTGGGAGAAGTGGCCCACGCTCTCTAGAGCCACATCGTCGCAGTCGAAATAGAAGCCCAGAGACAGATAAGTGTAGGAGGCTCGCAGATGCAGGTTGACCAGGCGGTTGACAGCGGCCTCCACCTCAGTGGAATAATTCTGACGAACTTGGGAGCTCATGGTTGCTCAGCAATAAGGAGTTAAGCTCAAAAAACGGTGTTGGCTGGTCTTGGAGGGGGAGGATGGCTGAGATGGTTTTGAAGGTTGAGATTAGAAAGCGGTTGGAGGGTGGTGGGAGGCTGGAAGAAGTGGCGTCCCTGGGTCTGTTCCATCCAAACACTGTTGAAGCAAGAGACAGATCCAGGGGATGCCAAGGGCATTCAATAATTAGATAACTTGAACTTGACTATGAGATACATAACTAAAGTCAAGGAGTTAGCCATGAAAGCTAGAAAAATGAGTCACGGAAGCACACATTGCTGTTGTGTGTGGCAGAGAGGTCCTTAACTAACCGGATCCAAGTGTTCTGGACTTTTAGGCAAGGCCATCCTAACCGTGGAAATGGATACAGGAACTATAGCCAAACACCTGTGGTCCCCTTGTTGGAAACAGTTCTCTCATGAAATTGAAGCAGCATGCAAACAAACAGCCTGATATCATATAATGAGCTCACCTTGATCTGATCCCATGCTCAATAAGCAAACTTTTGATAGTGATTCCACTTACCATTAATTCCGTGGTAACTTAGCAAGTATTATTTAGTAACTTTACCAAATACTATTTTTAAAAAGGTAAAAATTTAAAATGGTTCAGTCATGTGGAAAAGTTTGAGGGATCCTCAAAAACTTAAATATAGAATGACCATATAACCCAGCAATTCCACTTTCATATATAGGATTCATTTATATGGAACATCTAACAGGTAAATCCAAGAGAAATAAAGCAGATTGGTGGTTACCAGGGACTAGGGGGAGGAGGGAATGAGTGAAAGTAACTGTTTTATGGATAAAGGGTTTTATTGGGAAGTGATAAAAATGTTTTGAAACAAGGTAGATGTGATTGTGCAACATTGTGAATGTACAAAATTCCACTGAATTTTTCACTTTAAAATGCATAATTTTATGTTATGTGAATTTCACCTTAATTTTTAAAAGGTAAAATGATGACTCATGTAAATATAAAATACATATATCATAGATTTTATTCAAGTTGTAATTAATTAATAAGGAAACCAGTATGATGTTAAAACCAGTTCAAAGTGATATGCATGTAAGAATACAATTGCTAGTTAGATACAAAATTGGTTAATGTCCAACAGGACCATGCACTGTAATATCTTGAGGTGATCTGTTTTGCCAGACAGACATTATTTGCATCACTAGTGGACAAAAATCTATAAATTAATCTTGGCTCCTAGAGATTTTAAAATAGCCCAGACAATGGAAATTCAAGCTCAGCACTGCACTGAAAGAAAAACCCAGTAATCTCATTTACCTATTTCCAAATTTTAAGTACTTTTTCTGACATCATATATGTCTGTCTACTAGGAGAGGAAGGGTCGATTGTGTCGTTTCTTGGATAACAGTTTAGTTTCTCATTAGTGATGAGTAAATGGTCATTCTAGTTTTATACACCAGTGTTTCAATGTATGGGTAATGTATATCTGTCAGTCTCTGAAAGATAAATCTGCTCTTTGAGCTGGAAACACTGGTTTCCTGTCCTCTAAGACCAGAGGTCAGACTTGGTCTATAGAAAACTCACCAAGGACAAATGTGATCCGGTAAAGTCTCTATTTATTTATTTATTATTTTTTTAAATTTTTATTGGGGAATTGGGGGAGGGTAACAGCGTTGGGGAATTGGGGAAGGGGAACAGACAAATTGCTATCCTTTTGTTCTTCAGTCTAGTTGTGGAGAACGTTGCTTCACTGGCTCAAGTTGGCACCATCATTGTGCTCTACCCAGGTGAGGCAAATCAGTCGCCAGCTTCTGGACGGCCGCTCACAGCGGCTGCTGGCCGCTCACGCTAGCTGCTGGCTACACACGGTAGTCCATGGCAACCCACTGCCACAGGGGCTGCAACCTACACCATCACCGTTGCCGGCGACTCACGGCAGCCCAGCTCCAGGTTGAGCTGTTGTTCAGCATCTTAGCTGTGGAGGGCAGTGTCACTGGCCCTCATATGTGGGATGGAACCGGGGCCCTCTCGTGTCCTAAGCCAGCTCTTAACCAACGCGCCACTCTGCTGGCTCTAAAGTCTCTCTTGATAGACAGCATTTTGTCCTCTCCCCACAGAGAAGAGACCTTTGCTTATTTTGAACTTGAACAACTTCATTTTTGGCCTAGGCCATTTTTTGTTTTTCTTAGCTCTTCAAATGAAATATTTAATCATTTGTGTACGTCTCTGGTTTTTGACATACATCATACTGTGGAAATAGATTTGTTAAACTCCAATTACTATTGAATGCCTGATATAGCCAGGCAAATTATTCACTACATGAAGTCACCCGATTGTCTTCAGGAGTTGGATGGGATACAAGGGAATACAGAACACTTGCGTCTGTAAGGAAGTTACGTTCCTTCCCATGAGATAACTATCGCTCATTTCCTTCCTGGTTTTTTCCATGCTATTTGTGAATGTTTATGGCAGGGTTTCATGTGGAAGAAAACATTTGCCAGTATTATATTACATTCAAGTGCTCTTTCTGTCCGAAAGCACAGTGATCATTTCTGTGTAGACTCAAAAAACGATTTCAAGCTGGTGTGGACACACCATGTCTTGCTGGGGCCTGCCTCACCACTTCTCTCTTCATGCCCTGGGCCTTCCCTTTTAACATAGCAGGACCCCAGCTTAGCACCCACATAAGCGGGTGCTACTTAAAGGGAGGGAGAGTTAACATCTCAGGAGATGAATCTTTGGAGGACTGCTGCTTTTCCGTTTCTCCCCACTGGACAGACTGGCCTAAGAAGTAGGTTATATGACTTCTCAGAGGACAATCTCCCAGGATTGCGCAGTGGCCGGTTTAATAATGCATCTTCCTCCGGGTACTGTCTCCAGCTCCTTCCCAGCCTCGCTCTCCTCCTCACTCACTCCTGCTCCCTGAAATCGCACTCCCTAATAAATTGGTAGCACATAAGCTTCTGCCTCAGGCTGCGCTTTCTGGGGAATCCAGGCTAAGACAGATGGTATTTTGCACATGTTTATACTGACTTTAAATTAAACCATCTCTAAATCTTCCTAGTGATCAATGTTGTAATAGAATACTGAGTTCTTGGGATTGTAAAGTGTGGTATACGGTAAATGCAGGCCTGCTCCCTACGTTTTGGTATTTGGTATGAGTATTACGGAGTAAAGAAGTGGCAGACTTTGACACAAGCATTCCCTGTAGCCTTTCTCACTGCCTGTCCCCTTTCTTTCTCTCCTCAGTGCACTGCAATCTGACTTTAATCTCTCCCATTCTTCTAAAATGTCCTTTTCAAGGGGCGGCCGGTTAGCTCAGTTGGTTAGAGCGCAGTGCTCATAACACTAAGGTTGCCTGCAATTCCCACGCCCTCCACAACTCTTCTAGATTGAAACAACTATTTGACTTGGAGCTGATGGGTCCTGGAAAAACACACTGTTCCCCAATAAAAATAAATAAAATAAAATGTCCCATTTGAGGACAGCAATGCCCTTCATGTCACATCCACTTCCCATGTTACTTGGTGTCCCAGCAGCGTATGGTTCAGTTCATCGCTGCCTTATTGAAACATGTTCTTCTCTAGGCTTCTAGGCCGGAATTACCAGCACACCCCACCTCAATGGCTTCTCCTCCTCCAGTGCAGCCAGACAGCTGGCTGTTAATGAAAAGTGCCAGGGTCTCCCCTCAGCCTTCTCTTTTCCATTCATGCTCTATCCCCAGATAATCTCATCCAATCCCATGGCTTTAGATATACCTCTAGCTGCTGACATCCGAGTCACTGTCTTCCACCCTTGCTTCAGTTGAATCTCAGACTCCAACTATCAACTCATTTCTACTTGGATATCTAAAAGGCAACTCAAACTTAACATCAGGAGTTCCAAAACAGAACGCTTGACTTCTCCATTAATTTGCTTCACCCCGGTTTTCCACATTTCAGGAAATGATACCACCTTTTACACAGTGGCTTAGGCTGAAAACCCCAATGGCAGCCTTTTCTATTTCTCTCTTTAAAAAAAAAAAAGATTTTATTGAGGAATTGGGATAGGGAAACAGCATTGAGGAATCAGGGAAGGGAAACAGGCAAGTTGCTGTACTTTTGTTCTCAGTCTAGTTGTGGAGGACATAGCTTCACTGGCCCATGTTGGTGTTATCATTGCGCTCTTCCCGGATGAGGCAGTCACTCACCGGCCATTGGACAGCTGCTCACGTCGGCTCATGGAAGCTCACGAAAATGTACGCCAGCTGCCGCCAACTCACACCAGCTGCCAGCCACTCACGGTAGCTCATGGCAGCCCACTGCAGCCCCACTGCAGCCTACACCATCACCGGCCACTTCCGGCGGCCCAGCTCCAGGTTGAGCTGTTGCTCACCATCTTATCTGTAGAGGGTGCAGCATCACTGGCCCCCATGTGGGACCTGAACCGGGGTCCTGCTGATCAGAGCTGGTGTCCCAAGCCAACTCTTAACCAAAGCGCCGCGAGACTGGCCCTATTCTCTCTTCATCCTATTTATTAGCAAGTCCTTCTGGAGTTATCACCATGATTCATCTTGAATTCGACCCCTTCTCACCACCTCCACTGCTACTGTCATATCTTGCCTGGGCCATAAGATCTTCCTAGCCGGCTGCTCTGAGCCTTTTGTGCCTTCCAGATGCAACCAGACTGATTACTGTAAAACTTAAATCTAACTATATCTCACTCCTACTAAAATATCTTCCAACAGCATCCCTTGCAAGGAGAATACAATCCACAAGCCCCTACCTGATCTGTCCCCTGCTGACCTCCCTGATCTTTTGTCTGGCCCCTCCTCCTCTCCCTCTTCTTTCTGAGACTCAAACATGTGGAGCTTGTCTGGGGTCAGCATCTTCACATGCTAACCTCTCTCTTCCTGAAATACTCTTCCCCAGATTTTGAAATGGTTGGCGCTTCTTGGGCTTCTTATCACTTGGGTCTCAGCTCAAATGTCATTTCTTCAAGAGGACTTCCCTGACCTCTGTGGT